ATCATCATCACCTGACCTCTTTGTTATTTCCTGCATTCATTTACATTCAAACAATATTTGTCTTTCTGGTTATGCAAAATGCATATATTCATCCAGTAAAATGTTCTGCTTACAAACCTAACATTGTTTATTACTACTAAATTAATTCATTTACCATAGTTTCTAGTATTCTATAATGTCTATGAACAGCCCTAGATTCCCAAAGAATAAAATGTAAACTGATACTGAACATTTAAGGCTTTGTGCACATGTGAGGTTGGGGAGCGGTAAAAGCAGGTGGTTGAGCTGCAATTTTGCCACCCCTGAACACTAATATACAGCTGCTCATGCCTATACATATACAGTGAAACAGCACATTAATTGTAAATCAAAATATGTAGTTTATTTGATAGAATGTAGCAAATTCTTTCTTCAGTATGTGACTGTACAATAAGACCCCTAAGAACAAGAATTGGTGAGCATAATTGAAATTTCAATAAATCCGAATGCAAGCCAAATTTCCAATCTCTAAATGACCAAACATTTTGAGGAGGAGCATAGGTGAAATATGAGTTCCTTCTTTTTTTTTTGTGGCATAGATCGGTTGTTAAAACTGCCAAGAAGGACTTGCATCCTAAACTATTAGAGAAGAAGGGCAGTGGATCTACACCTTACAAACAAGAGCACCATTAGGGCTTAGCCATAGGTGGGACATTAATCTCTTTTTTAAATGGTCTGTATGATATACATTTAGTTATTGTAGTGTACGAGACTACAACAGCATTTCCATTAGGGAAATTGTGTATTTATTCATTTTTATATTATGCACTTACTATACACTGAATATGTGTATATACATTATATGCAATATATATATATATAAATATATATATATAATGCATTGAATAAGAGCTATCATTGCTATACACTACAGTATATTCTTGCCCTAGGTATCTATAAATTTAATGGCCAAAATCTCAATGGAAAGGTATTCTAGTGAAGAGGCCTACAGGATTCTGGGCATGTCAGGTGAGAGCGAAGGGAAAGACTCCCTGACACAATCAGCCTCAGAATACAAACCTGTAGACAGCAGTGGCACCCTGACAGATAGCTCAGATGATGGAGAAGAGGTCCCTGATAAGATCAGGCATACCCGACCCCGTTCCCAGTTTGCTGAGATGTTACAATTGCACGATGACTCTTATGTGCAGCAGAGTGCCAGTACTAGTGCTGCTCTACCTTTTGGTGAACTGGTAAGCACCAGTGGCCTAGTAAATCCTGGTCGTTCACATACCAGCACTGAAGTATCACTTGGTGACGTGGCGAGTCCCATAACTGCAGTACAAGCTGGTGCGGTGGCGAGCACAAGTATTGTCCCGCAACCACCAAGAATTCGCACACAGGCCTGTAGAGCCCCTAGTATCCTTCCGGATGTACTTGAAAATCCAGATTGGCAGCCCACAAATTCTGCAGCACCCGTACTTTCCCCATTCACTGCCCAACCTGGAATTCAGGTAGAACCAGCAAATTTAAACTACTCCCCTTGATTTTTTGGAGCTGTTTTTCACGGAAGATCTGTATGCATTGATTGTGGATCAACGCAATTTATATTCACAACAGTTCATCGCCGCCGACCAAAATTCAAACTTTGCCAGACCATTTGCATGTAAACCCATTACGGTTTAAAGTTTTTTTTGGCATAACCCTCAACATGGGTATTACTAAAAAAAAATTAATTGCAGTTGTATTGGTCCACAGACCTGATTCATCATATGCCTGTGTTCTCTGCTGCCATGGCCAGGCATAGATATGAGAGTATAATGCATTTTATGCATTTCAGTGACAATACACTCTGTCATCCTCGGGGGGACCCTGAATTTGACCAGCTCCACAAAATTCGGCCCCTCATAAATCACCTTAACCAAAAATTTGCAGATGTCTATACACACAAGCAAAGCAAGCATGGCAGATATGGGGTCGAAATGTGGAAGACCTGTGAGAGGGCAACAGACTATACATATACATTTTGGATTTACGAGGGAAAAGATAGTCACGTGGAGCCCCCCCCGGATGCCCAGACTACATGGAGAGCAGTGGCAAGATAGTTTGGGACTTGGTGTCATCCTTTTTCCATATGGGGTACCACTTATATGTGGACAATTTTTATTCAAGCGTGCCACTATTTACACATTTGTACAATCTTGGAATTGGTACATGTGGCACCATGAGACCTAATCGCTGGGGCTTTCCCCAACGGCTTGTAAATACCCATCTTAGAAAGGGGGAAAAAGCCTGCTTGAGAAATGAGGACTTGCTCACAGTGAAGTGGAAGAACAAATGGGATGTTTTCATCCTGTCTTCCATTCACGCAGACTCGACCATTCAAATTGCCACTGCAGCTGATGTTGAGAAGCCCCTCTATGTCCACGACTGTAACCTTAACATAGGAAGGGTGGATTTCAATGACCAGATGATGAAGCCGTACTTAGTTTCCCAAAAAGCCAGAAGCTGGTACAAAAAAGTGTCTGTTTATTTATTTCAATTGGCTCTATATAATGCTTTTGTGCTTTACAAAGCAACTGGATAAAGTGGATCCTTCCTAAAATTCCAGGAAGATATTATCACAGCCCTTTTGTATCCAGAAGGTGCTTTGGCCCAAACCCCCAACACAGATGCAGTTAGCCGACTGCATGAGAGGAATTTTCCTGATGCCATTCCTGGTACCCCAACCCAAAGGACACCCCAAAAAAGATGTTGTGTCTGTAGCAAACATGGAATTAGGCGTGACACCCGCTTTTTTTATCCCTCGTGTCTTGGCCAACCTGATCTCTGCCTCAAGGACTTCTTCTGTCGCTACCACACACTAGTGGAGTATTAGTATAGGGTACAGCAGGGCACAATTCAGGGCACATGTTTTTGCACAAGGTCTTGAAAGATGTTCGGTAGTCAGGAAACTGGCTATTGCCTATTTTGGGATACCCTACAATCTGGTTTAAATTCAAGTTAAAAATAAAAAAAAGTAAAAAAACATAAAAAATAAAATTTACAAGTCCAAAAATTGCTAAATACATTTTCTCATCAGCAGTTAGAGAAGTCTTGTGACTTTTATCAGTGTCCACAAAACCACTGGTTAAAGCTTGTAGGAGGAGTTTTCTTTCTGCTCTAAGATGCAAAACCCCTGACCTCTCTCTGGACAGTACTGATTGGCCCTGTGCTGATCACATGCACTCTGCCAAGAAAAAAAAAACTCTCTAGCAATACACACTAAACTGAGCATGTGCATGTGGCTATGGGTTCAGTCTGTCTTATCAGGTGGACATTTGAGCAAGAGGAGGGGCAGAGAAAACAGGATCAAACAGCCATTTTACATAACGCGGAGTATTAACCCCTTAGGTTCCACAGTGAGTATAACAAGCATGCTTTACTGCATATACAGACTTATTTTACTGTGTTGTGGGTTTAGTAACACTCTAAGGCATTCATAAGGGGAATTTAAATGGAGAGGGGGAGTGTTTTTTTATGAATTTTCCCCTGCCATATGAAATGACTAATATTGAAAGTGTATAAATATATTTATTAGTTAAATATGCATGTTTTCTAATGATGGTGTCAATTTTTATTTTTCACTCGTTGCGGTGTTTTATATATGTATATGTTCAAGGAATAAAAAAAAAGCTTAGATTACCTTTATGTCCTTCTGAACTTTGGCCCTCCTTAAGGCTAGGTTCACATTTGTGCATTCCTTAAGTGCACAAAAAAGCTCATCCTTTTTGCAGGTGCGTGGTGGTGGTACCCCAATGCATCTTGCCAAAAAGAAATGAACAAGCTGCTTTAAACATGGTGCACAAAATTGCATAAAACCATGCATACTGTGGCTGCTGCATAGGTGTGAACAAAGCCTAAAGAGATTTCTCAGTAGATAACACTGCTGTTTTAAGCAGTGTACCTAAACACCTTTATGCCTTGAGCAGGAGTGACAAGAAGTGTAGGTTCACACCTGTGCAGGTTGTGTTTGAGAAGTTTCTGAATTGTGTTTTGCGTTGTGTTTTTGCACTTGCGTTTTTGATGCATTCCTTGTACTTTTTTTTTCTTTTTCTTGTTGCTAGGTAGATTTAAAATGCAAAATGCATCAAAAATCTGTCAAAAACACAGCAAAAATGCAATACATGCTTTTCTGCAGCATTTCCATTGAGGTCTATAGAAACAAAAATGCACCTTTATGCATTCAAAAAAGTCACTGACCCTTTTCAAAAAACTCATCAGGTGAAAACGCGGAGATGTGAACATGTCCCATAGGAAATCATATTAAATGGACTGTTAAATGGACAAAACGCAGAACGCTGCAGAAAACGCTTAGGTGTGAACCTAGGGTAAGAGCATGCCTAAATGATGTCATCACGCTGTGTCCGTGGTGTCACCATTGCCTGATTGTCAGCAGACCCAATACAGTCTACTTGGTTCTAAACAGACTAGGTCCCATGGCTTACCCTCTTGGCGCTGGCCGAACGCAAATGTGCGGCTTCCCGGCATCTGGGCCTAGACGCTGAGCAGCTGCACATTTGCTTTCTATTAAAAAAAATATATGTGCTGAGCACTGGTGGACTGACAACTCATGGGGCCCCCGGGCAATATGGGATCATGGGGCTACTGTGTCCTTGCCCAAACTCAAAAAAGCCTATGAAAAAGGTACCAGGGGCATCTCATGGGCCCCCTACTGACCCCGGGCCCTCGGGCAGTGCCCGAGTTTCCAAATGGTCAGTCCACCCCTGGTGCTGAGGGCGCCCATCACACTCACGGAAAGGTCCCGATCTCCTCTTTTGATTGGTACCTTTCCCGATCATGTGATGGCGTGTCACGGCGGTCACATGACCCTAAACCCCGCCTCCTGGTTTCTGAAACCCTTAGAGGGTTGGAAGGCGGCGGTGCGAAGGGGTTAATGGAAGCTGCCATCTTTCGAGAACAGTGTTGTGTATGGAGGAGGTGAGGCCCACACTGAGTTATGTGCCAGGTGAGCTGTGGGTTTAGTGCACTGTGTCAGTCACAGCACAGAAGTACACGCCAGAATCAGACAGTTCAGCTCGGTCTTTGTTCATGTGGAAAGAGGTTTTGGCCTTATCGTGTATTGCTGAAAATCCCTTGTGTTTAGTCTGTATTGAAAAATGTAACAGCATTGCTGGAGCTTTACCCGGATACTGGACATACCACATGACATACGGGGACACAGAAACTTTATATGTACATTCCAAAAATACAGGGTGTCCCTGAAGGACCGTCTGAGGTGCCGCTGTCTGGTCTACCGACTGTGCACTATTCCATCCTGAAAAGTATAGTGCCAACATTAGTTAGTATCTGTTCATTAAATATGTTTTATATCACATCTGTGTCAAATACAAATATTAATACAAATATGTACTGTGGCACCATTGAGATTTGCTAGCATTCTGTCTATTTAATATAGATACACACCTGGAAGGGAAAAGCAGAGAAGAAGGAATACAACAACTGAATCCATTGTGTGCATATGCAGTTGTATGATTACAGACATTCCTACAGAGCTATATAGGTATATGTATCTGTTCTTGTCATGTGATCTCTCTCACTTCCTCTACATGTGAAGTACAGCACAGCTTTGTTACTTGATATAAATCTAGAACCTACTAAGTAACTTAATGAGGAACTTCCCTCCTGGGACTGCAATACAATATTAAATATCGAAAGCATGGACAGGTGTGCTGCAGGTCTGTGCCAGGCTTTTCAGACCAGGCGGGGACCTCTGGCACATCTATGCTTGCATGGAGGATACGCACACACGCATGCACGCACGCACACACACACTTTGCTGGTTCAAATAGCTGGGACCTTGTTATGGTCTCGTTCACAGGGGAGAATTGAATGCGTGCCCCATGTAGGGTTGTGTTTTGCCAGCACTGGGATGCACAGTCCCATTGTTGTCTACTGGGATGCAGCGGCAGCAGGGACACAGCTGCTGCTCCTATTATGACCTGTGTGGGGGTGCGGATGAATGGCCTCAAACGCACCCTGGATGAGTTTGGGGACCCACACCCACATGGATGTAATGTTGTCTGCTGTGTCCAAACAGATAGCAATGGGACTGCTGGCATGGGGATGCACGGAACATCTGTGCAAGGCTGGGTTCACACTAATGCGACCCCAAAGTCATGCGATTTTCTTGCGATTACCTTGCAACTTCCTTTTTTGTGATTTAAAGTGGTACTAAACCCACAACAGTAAAATAAGTCTGTTTATACAGTAAAGCATGCTTGATATACTCATTGTGGTACCTAGGGGGTTAATCCTCTTCATTGTGTAAAAATGATGTTTGATTCTGACTGATCCTCCCCTTCTTCCAGTGTCACCTTCTTATCTCCTGATAAGACATATCATGTGGAGTCACTCTGCCCATGTTCAGTTTGGTATGTAATGCTAGAGAAGTTTTTTTTTTTCTTGGGAGAGTGCATGTGATCAGCACAAGGCCAATCAGCACTGTCCAGACAGAGGTCAAGGGTTCTGCATCCTCCTAAGAAAACTCCTCCTACAAGCTTTAACCAATGCTCTGCTGGACACTGATAGAAGTCACAGGACTGCTCTAACTGCTGATGAGAAAAGGTATTTAGCAGTTTATATTTACTAAAATAATTGCATTTCCATGTTCTGTGTACTGTGGGAGACCAGATAGAGTGAATGAAGGGTCCAGTAACACTTTAACATTGCAGACTATGGCACTCAAATCACACCAAAGTCGCAGAAAAATAGAGCAGGAAACTTTTTTTGTCACTGCAACATGAGTCGCATTGATTAAGACAGCATCGATTGAAATTACATAGTTACATAGTTAGTCTGGCTGAAAAAATACAAAAGTCTATCCAGTTCAAATATAAAAAAAAAAAATTATAATCCTATACCTACAGTTGATCCAGAGGAAGGCAAAAAAACCCAGCAAAGCATGATCCAATTTGCTACTGCAGGGAAAAAAATCCTTCCTGATCGCCTGAGAGGCAATCGGATATTCCCTGCATCAACTTTACCTATAAATGTTAGTATCCAGTTATATTCTGTGTATCTAAGAAACAATCCAGGCCTTTTTTAAAGCAATCCACTTCTTTCCCTGCATTTCTGCAGGTAGGGCAGCCCACAGAATGCAGCAACACAATTGTGAACCAAGCTTTCAACACAGGGTGAGCTGTACAGTGACCGATCATTGTGATAGCCAATCACAGGCTATCACAGTGATCAGTTCCCATACAAGACCCAGAGCTCTTGCTGAGAGCCTGGTCTCTGTGCTTGTAGATTGCTGTCAGCACAGACACAGCAACGCATCTATGCAGCCCCATGGATAAGGGCCAGTGGCGTCCCGAGGCAGGTGCGGGGGGGTGCGCGCCGCATGTGGTGACACCGACCGCATGGGGTTACACCGGACCTGCTGCACAAAAAGGTAAGTTGTAAAGCAAGCCGATGATCCCCGCAGGATGGATCGGATCTGCGGATTGGGGAGCATAATGGATCGGACTGTTTGAAAATGATCTACCACAAAGCAGCATATGGACATGAGGATTTGCCCAGCTACTGTATAGGACTTCACCAAATTAACCAATCACTAATAAATTCTTTTTTTTTTGCTTGGAGACTGTTTTCAAACCTACAGTATGATGCTGCCACCTTGTGTTGGCTATCAGGGTATTGCATTATTCTATACAATAACTAGAAAAAGGTTTATCCAATCTCAAAAGATCTGACAGGTCTGCTTGCAAACATTTGTGTTAATGATATATGACAGAATGGTCAGTTCACCTGATATACACTGACCTGCCACTTTATTAGGTACACCTGTTCAATTGCTTGGTAACACAAATTGCTAATCAGCCAAACACATGGCAGCAACTTAATGCATTTAGGCATCTAGACGTGGTGAAGACAACTTGCTGAAGTTCAAACCGAGCATCAGAATAGGGAAGAAGGTTATTTAAGTGACTTTGAACATGGCATGGTTTTTGGTGCCAGATGGGCTGGTCTGAGTATTTCAAAAACTGCTGATCTACTGGGATTTTCAAGCACAACCATCTCTAGGGTTTACAGAGAATGGGCCAAAAAAGAGAAAATATCCAGTGAGTGGTAGTTGTGTGGACGAAAATGCCTTGTTGATGTTAGAGGAGAATGGTCAGACTGGTTCAAGATGATAGAAAAGCAACAGTAACTCATGTCAATATGGACCAAAATCTCTGAGGAATGTTTCCAACACCTTGTTGAATCTATGCCACGAAGAATTAAGTTCTGAAGGTAAAAGGGGCCCAACCCAGTACTAGCAAGGGTGTACCTAATAAAGTGGCCGGTGAGTGTAGTCATAACTGATAATGACCAGAAAATGGAACAAGTGAGACTGTTGCTGCTCAAGAACTTATTGGGAAAAAGGATAAGTACTGTCTGCACTAGTGATGGGCCAAACACCCCCCCCCTGTTTGGTTCACGGTCGAACATTTGAACCTAACGAAAGCTCAACTGCAAACTTCAAACCAGCACAATTCACTAAGTGGTATCTTACTGCATCCGAGTATGCTATAAGATACCGCCCAGCATTTTTCCAAAAGAACCTACTAATATACCGCATGAGTTATGCTATTAAGTCATGCGGAATTTTAGTAGTGAAAACATGCATTAATGTTTCAGAAGTTCCCCACTGACAGCTGAATGTAAAAAGAATTGCCGGCAATTAAAAATTTTGCATAAAAAACCGGCGTGGACCCCCCCATCTATACGAAGTCCTTCAAGTCTGGTATGGATTTTGAAGGGAAACACCATGCCAAATGTTTTTTTTTTTATATGACATGGAGTCCCTCCAAAATCAATACCAGATCCCTATCTGAGCATGCAGCCCGGCAGGTCAGGAAAGGGGGGGACAAGTGAGCACCCCCCTCCCTTCCTGAACCATACTAGGCCACATGCCCTCAACATGGGGGGGTGCTTTGGGGCAGGGGGTATCCCCCCCCAAAGCACTTTTAACAAGGAGGCATACAGATTCCCGCCCCCCCCCCCAATGTGAATAAGTATAGGGTACATGGTACCGCTACTCATTCACATAAAAGAAAAATGTAGTGTAAAAAATGACAGAAGCCAGTCTTTGACAAGTCCTTTATTAAAAGGAAAATTTAAAAAATGTCTCCCAAAGTAGATCCAACATCAATCACAATGCCCACCGCCAACCCAAAAAAAAAAAAAAAAAGACTGCACTCTCGATGCTGGCTCCTGGCCGTCTGGCAGCTGCACCAACCTGACAAATCCTAAATATCTAAGGGGGGGCCCCTTGTGATGTCATCATGTGCTGTGATTGGCCAAAGCATTGCACCTGACCTGTGGTGCATTGTGGAGCGTGGTGGGCGAAGATCTCTCTGAACGCTCTTACTGTTTGTTCGCCGAACGGCCAAAGCTCAACTCGAACATCAAGCCCAACACTAGTCTGCACTCTATTCAAATACCTGACTTTATACTGTAATAATCCTATGTGTAGTGCACTAGGGAGTGTATATAGATAATTGTTTTGTTTTGCTATTCTTTTCTGTTTAAAAATTAATAAAATAAAAGTTCCCCATCACTCAACTATTTCAGACTGCAAAAAAAAAAAAACTAAACATTGGCCTTAAAGTTATTGTAAAGGAATCTTTTTAAAATAACAAACATGTCGTACTTACCTGCTCTGTGCAATAGTTTTGGCCAATGGCTTCCACTGCTGCCTCTGAGCCAGTGAGTAGAGAGAGAGCAGCAATGCTAGATCAAGATCGGGCTCAGGGAAGTATTGGGGGGATGGCCAGAACACAGAAGGTTTTTTACCTTAATGCATAGAATTTTATATTTCTCTCAGAGTTGTACCACCTCACTTTTGGATAGTTTGGCCATAGGATGTCACTCAGGAACTCAAAATGATAATTTCCTGAGGATTTCCCTTACTTTGCAAACAAGCTTTAAAGCCCAACTCCAGGAAATCTGAAAATTCTTAATTTGTATTGGGGCTGCCCCTGAACTGCAAGGGTTAGTTGATTGCTTAGGTCTAGGGGAGAGTAAAAATAATTTCAGGTACCCAATCCTCTACTCCGCCGGTTGATGGTGTTTTTCTCCACGATCTAGCAGTAGACTGCCCCTCGGCAGCCTCCTGTCCAATGTGGGGCCATGACATCAGGACCTTAGACTACTGGAGTATGGGGGAGAAGATACTGAGGGACTGGTCTAGCAGTGTGGAAATGTGGAGGATCGGGTAACTAAATCCACTTTTCCATGCCCCCTAGACCTTAAAGAGCATTTTCAAATTTCCTGGATTTCAGCTTTAATGTAA